GCTCACATTTGAATACAGAGAGCCTTGGCTCACATTTGCACACAGTGAGCCTTGGCTCACATTTGCACACAGTGAGCATTGGCTCACATCTGAATACAGTGAGCATTGGCTCACATCTGAATACAGTGAGCCTTGGCTCACATCTGAATACAGTGAGCCTTGGCTCACATCTGAATACAGTGAGCCTTGGCTCACATCTGAATACAGTGAGCCTTGGCTCACATCTGAATACAGTGAGCCTTGGCTCACATCTGAATACAGTGAGCCTTGGCTCACATCTGAATACAGTGAGCCTTGGCTCACATCTGAATACAGTGAGCCTTGGCTCACATCTGAATACAGTGAGCCTTGGCTCACATCTGAATACAGTGAGCCTTGGCTCACATCTGAATACAGTGAGCCTTGGCTCACATCTGAATACAGTGAGCCTTGGCTCACATCTGAATACAGTGAGCCTTGGCTCACATCTGAATACAGTGAGCCTTGGCTCACATCTGAATACAGTGAGCCTTGGCTCACATCTGAATACAGTGAGCCTTGGCTCACATCTGAATACAGTGAGCCTTGGCTCACATCTGAATACAGTGAGCCTTGGCTCACATCTGAATACAGTGAGCCTTGGCTCACATCTGAATACAGTGAGCCTTGGCTCACATCTGAATACAGTGAGCCTTGGCTCACATCTGAATACAGTGAGCCTTGGCTCACATCTGAATACAGTGAGCCTTGGCTCACATCTGAATACAGTGAGCCTTGGCTCACATCTGAATACAGTGAGCCTTGGCTCATGACCTCATTTAATTTCTTAAGGTTACACACACTATTCATGGCGTAAGGGGCGTTATTATGGCTGCTCTTAAAATTTTATTAAATATGTTTCTACCACTTTCTCGTCCAGATATTGTGTACCTGGAGTTTACCTGGAGAGGGTTTCGGGGGCAAACACCCCCGCAGATCGGTTTGATACCAAGCCTCATGGTGGATCAGGGTCTGATCAACCAGGCTGTTACTGCTGGCCGCACGCAAACTGACGTACGAACCACAGCCTGGTTTGTATAAGTGCGGATTTTAATACAAAGTAAATTTGTTCAGTACTTCAAAAGGTTAATTACGTCACTTTTAACATGAAAACCTGAAGAATTAATGTGTTGTCAACGTGCTCTGGCTTTCAAACAGGTTGTAAGGACAAGTAATAATGCTTTTCACTCAGGAGCTTTATCAAGCTTCCATCAACGGCTTGATAAAGCTCCTGGAGAGCGAAACGTTGCCACAATAAAATGCCACATTAGTTACACTTGTGTCCTTTTACCTAACATATTGTCGGTAATTCTACAAACATTAATATAAACTACAGTGACCAATATCGCTAAGTCTTGGTCTCTTGTCCCATACGATAATTATTTCTGAATCATTTATTTTTGGACGAGTGTGGGGGAAAGAGGCGAAATAATCATTATTTTCATTTTGGTCTTCATCTCATCCAACACAGCTTTGATGACCAGGTATGAGCCTCAGGTTCTACCGTCAGGAAGAAGATTGAGACAGTTATGCAACATATGGGAATCTTTATTAAGAAAACGTTTCGCCACACTGTGGCTTCATTAGTCCAAGAGTGATGGACCGAACACATCGATTCACTGCCATTCACTTAGCGTGAATGGCATGGGAGACTGGCTTGGTGTGCGCAGTGATGGGTGGACGGGTACCGGACGGTCGCTGAAACACGAGTTAAATCACGAAACTCGAGGCCAAATTTTGCCAAAAAAAACTCGCAGGCTGAGGGACTGATTACCTCAAACTCCTCTCCTTACCCCTCTCTGCTCTGTATTGGACTGATGAAGCCACTGTGTGGCGAAACTTTTCCTTAATAAAAATTTCCATATGTTGCATAGTGTCTCAATCTTCAAAAGTATAGATGAATGCAAGTAGGTTAGTCCCAACACTACGGAAAATTAGCAACGAGGAGAAGGTAAGAGAACCAAACCTGACGATATCAGAGGATAACTGAACAATGCATTCATGGGAAAGGAGCGCTAAACCCGTAGAGGTCATACAGCGCCTGGAGGATGGGAAGCAGTGAGGTTCTATGCAAGGAGTGTTAAACAGTTCCAGTCCCTTAGATCAAGAACCCTCACCTGAATTAAGAAATCTCTCTAGAAGAGAAGACCGGGGAGACATGATAATGACATTATAAATATTCAAGAGTTGACAGGATGGACCAGGATGAATGATTCCAGAGGTGAAAAACGGGTTCAAGAGAGCACAGCTGAAAGGTAAAGACAGTCACCGGGTTTCCAGGAAGTATTTTTTCAGTCTCACGGCGGTTAGGAAATGGAATGACCTGGACGAAACAGTAATGGAGGCAGGCTTGATACACAGTTTTAAGAATAGGTATATCACTGCCCACGAAGCTAGGAGGAAGTAAATCTAGTAAGTAGCAAGTTAAAAGGCAGATAAGTCTGTGAGAATTATGCAGAAACTATAAAGAGGAAAATCATGGAACTGCTGGGGAATGAACCCATAACGAGACCTAAAACTCACAGGCCAGTGCGTTAACCACTAACCTGTGGTTAATGCACTCACCATGGGTTCAAAACCCAACCCGTTCCATGATTTGTTTGCAATCGTGTTATGATTTCGTGAGTTATAGAGAGATATTCACCGAGGAAGCGAATGATGCTAGAATAGGACGTTGAAAGGGCCAATCAGCAGTTACTAACAGAAACCGAAATTCGAACCTTTAACAAATAGGAGAATACAAATAAATACAAACTCCTCTTTTCTCATAAAAAAATAAAAAAATGCCAGTATAATTCTCAGAATTTAAGTTGCCGGAATATATTAAATTCCAAAGTCCATTAAATAAAAGAAACAGAAATGAAAATGTACGAAGTCTCGTCCGAACTGTGTGTGTGTGTGTGTGTGTGTGTGTGTGTGTGTGTGTGTGTGTGTGTGTGTGTGTGTGTGTGTCCCAAAATCGCAAAACTAGTTAACCTGACGATTTAGAAGCTCAATAGACCAATCAATTTCCACTGTGAGATTTCTATTAAATTTCCGATTGAAAATAACCCTGGGTTCTGGTTCTGGTTTTTAATACATTCTATCAAACAGAATAAAAGGAATGAAGTCAGCCTCAGTAATTGCTGACTTTTATATCACAGATTATTTTTGGTGTTCGTGTGTGTGTTTGTGCGTGTTTCTCTGTTGCCCAGCTGTGTGTTCTGCCCAATTTATGTACAAGTGGGCACACTTGTACTCCAAGTTATTACACACTTACAAACACAGCTTGTGCACTTTGTACACACCTAGTTGTGAATTAGACACCTATGCAACATATGGGAATCTTTATTCTGTAGACGTTTCGCCAACCAATGGCGAAACGTTTGCACAAGATATTAACTTCCCTCATGCTTCTAAAATTGATGTATATTAACAATATTAACAATGAGCATAAATAATAGAAGTCCTCAGGTAGTTCTTCAACTCTATATATCCTTGGTTAGGCCTCATTTAGATTATGCTGCACAGTTCTGGTCACCGTATTACAGAAATGATATTAATGCTCTGGAAAACGCACAAAGGAGGATGACAAAGTTGATCCCATGTATCAGAAATCTTCCCAATGTGGATAGACTGAGGCCCTGAATCTGCACTCTAGAAAGGCGTAGAATTAGGGATGATATGATCGTGGTATATAAATGTAAAGCAGTAATAAATAAAGAGGATGTAAATAGCGTGCTAAAAATATCTAGCCAAGACAGGACTCGAAGCAATGGTTTTAAGTTGGAAAAATTCAGATTCAAGTAGGATATGGGAAAGCACTGGTTTGGTAATAGAGTTGTGGATGAGTGGAACAAACTCCCGAGTACCGTCATAGAAGCTAAGACGTTGTGTAGCTTTAAAAATAGGTTAGATAAATACATGAGTTGGTGTGGTTGGGTTTGAGTTGGACCTGACTAGCTTGTGCTACTAGGTCAGATGCCGTGCTCCTTCCTTAAGTGAATGTGACCAGACCTGATTAGGTTAAGGCATTGGTTTAAGCCTGTATGGGACTTGGATCTGCCTCGCATGGGCCAGTAGGCCTGCTGTAGTGTTCCTTCTTTCTAATGTTATTACAAATTTAATGTTCACATAAAGAGCATTTAAGCATATATTATGATTATTTATATTAATGGGGAGCGCGAAATCCGCACGGTCATACAGTGTCTGGAGGATTGGTGGTAATCAGATTTGATCTGAGGAGAGGGCAACTCCATTTATTTGGAACAAGAGCCCTTCACCAGAGCATCAGAGGACTCTCCCCCCCCTCCTCTTCCCAGTTACTTATTTTAACAAAAAAATTAAAACATTACAAAGGGAAACGATTTTAAACATTTTATCCTCCAATTTACTCCTGTGTAAATATTACATTAATTTTTGTAAACAAAGGCATTAATGATGTATAATTGCATAATGTTTGCAAAACTTTTTCCTTGTTACGTTTTGCAGTTATGTCTGGCTCATTGAATGTAATTATTTTTTTCTCAGCACACCGGCCGTATCCCACCTAGGCAGGGTGACCTAAAAAAGAAAAACCACAGTTTTTCATTTTAAATTTAGTAATTTATACAGAAGGGGTTATTAACTCCTTGCTCCCGGCATTTTAGTCTCCTCTTACGACACGCATGACTTACTGAGGAAGAATTTGTATTGTTTTTTCAGTTAGGTTTGAAGTCCATCGGCTACGCTAAGATTTATTAAGACTGCTCGTCACCAATCAAGAATATTTTAAATTACTTGAACAAGGATTTAAGTAAACTTAAGGTTGCTCATCGGGTTGCACACTTCATCAAGTGTACATACGTTGTTCGTCTTATTACATAAATATGAAAGATATAATCATCAAGTTGTATTAAGTGTATTATTATTGATTATTATAACCGTTATAAAAAATATTTTAACTATCAAAAAAATTAAAAACTACTCAAAACAAACATTTAAAACTTAATTATGGTACTCACAATTTTGTTTTCTTGGTTTTCTCATCTTTGTTGCAGTTTTTACGTAGGATCCAATGATTCTTCTTTTGTCTCTATGCCTCGTAAATCCTCCAGTTATCCTGTGTGTTGCTTGATCGTGAGTTAGTATATTATACTGTACATTACTGTGTCTGTCACTATTCCAAGTACAACCACTCATTTCGTCACCTCTACTCTCACAGAAGTGTACCAGCTCCCACTTGGTACACTCCTGCGTAAACTATGGTCGATGGCTTGTGAGGTTTAAGTCCCAGACTGCAAGCGGGTCAGTTAAGATTACAATTTATAACACAAAAATCAAGAATATTTTGATATCTGGTACGTGGAATAAAGTGAACTTCCAGCGCTCATGCACTGAGAGAGATGTATACCTCTTGGTGTATATACCCTGTGTGTTACAAAACGCTGCTGATTAAATGCAACCATAGTGTTCTAATAAATAACAAGCGTATCGTGTATTCAGTGAGCGGGGCAGAAAACGAGCTCTCAGATGCGTTCGTTTCATTATATAAGGTTTCACCACTTGCTTCACCCGAAACCTCGGGAAGAAATAGTCGACAAGTGCTGCTAGCTGACG